TCTTGGGACCCTCAGGGATGTCACTGGAGCTCTTGGGACCCTCAGGGATGTCCCTGGGACCCTCGGGGATGTCACTGGAGCTCTTGGGACCCTCAGGGATGTCACTGGAGCTCTTGGGACCCTCAGGGATGTCCCTGGGACCCTCAGGGACATCACTGGAGCTCTTGGGACCCTTGGGGACATCCTTGGGATCCTCAGGGACGTCACTGGAGCACTTGGGACCCTCAGGGATGTCCTTGGTACCCTCAGGGACATCACTGGAGCTCTCGGGACCCTCGGGGACGTCCTCAGGACCCCCAGTGCCACCACCAGCGCCCTCAGCCCCCCCCGGCCCCCCCACTGCTCCGCCTCCCCCCTCCCCTCCTCGTTCCTCCTCCTCCTCCTCCTTCTCCCCCTTCCTCCTCCTCCTCCTGCCGCGGGGGGGTCTGGGCCGCAGCGCCCGGCGCTCCCTCAGCGCCCGGCGGGCGCGCCGGGGTCCCAGCGGCGCCCCCAGGAGCGGGACCCCCGCGGGGGGCGGGGGCGGGGCGGGGGGCAGCGAGCTCCAGGTGACCTCCAGCACCCGCAGCGCGTCCTCGAAGGCGAACTCGCGCTTGAGCTCCAGCAGGAGCCAGCGGTAGCAGAAGAGCAGGTCGTGGGCCCCCCGCGCCGCCAGGAAGGCCCAGAACGGGGGGTCCGCGCGCCGCAGCAGCCGCCGCAGGTGGGCGAAGGCCCGGGCCAGCCCGCGGCCCCCCGGGCGGAAGCGCGGGCGCAGGCGGCGCATGAGGGAGCAGAAGCACAGGTAGGTCTGGGCCTCGTCGTCCAGCACGGCCAGCAGCGGCGCCGCCACGTCCGACATGCCCTGGCAGTAGGAGAGGCGCGGGTGCGCCAGCGCGAAGGCCGTCAGCAGCTCCTGCAGCGCCAGCAGGTGCGGGTGCCCCTCCTCGGGCCCCCCGAAGTAGGGGTGGGCGCGGTCGGTCCGCACCACGTCCTTGCGCACGGCGGCGCCCACCTGGGCCAGCTCGGCGGGCGCGGCGCGGGCGCGCAGGGCCGCCTTCAGCGCCCGGTACTCGCCCGCCTTGCGGCGCAGGTGGGACAGGCGCTCCTGGCCAGAGAGGCCCGCCGGGAACACGTTCAGCAGGTAACGCCACACCACCTGGGGGGGACAGGGAAAGGGGGGGTCAGGTGGGTCAGGGGGACCACCAGGGAACACGTTCAGCAGGTAACGCCACACCACCTGGGGGGGACAGGGAAAGTGGGGTCAGGTGGGTCAGGGGGACCACCAGGGAACACGTTCAGCAGGTAACGCCACAACACCTGGGGGGGAAC